TATTGGTGTTAATGAGAGTATCTTGACCATAATGAAACAAATTTGGACACAAATGAATGGATATTTTCTGTAAATGAACAGCAAAACGTGTATTAAGTGGGCTGTAAGGTGTCCATGCAATTAGCGGATCACCAAAGTTGGTCTGTTATGTTTGGGAGTGGAAGCAGGTATCTTTCATAGAGGTTTATATTAAATTATATTTCAATTGGCCATAATCATATTTTCAGTATTGGACTGGAACTAGCTTGTAATGAAGGCTCATGCGAGGGAATATGATGAAAAAAGGATCAATATGTCATTTGCATTTGAAAAGATTCCTTGCATTAGCCCCAGTTGCAAGCTAGTTCCATCCTATACTGAGAATATAATTGTGGTCTATAATTACCACCACGGTCCTCACATTTGAATATAATGTGATATTTATCTCATATGTTTTGTTGATTTGTTTGGTATCATGCTATAGTTCAGCTGCATCACACCAGTCACTAGACCTCCTTTCTTCAACCACACAGGTTCTCCAGCAATACATGTAGCATGCACATTGAGGTCATCATCTAGAAAGACCAAATCTGCATCAGACTCGTAATTCAAGGTGCCTTTTTTGTGCTCAATCCTCAACACCTGGGCTGGGTGTAAGGTGGCTCCTTCTAGTGCTTCTACCGTAGTGCAGCCTGAAATGCAAAAGATAGCATCTTAATCAAAAAGATAATCCACTGTAAAGTTCTATATTATAGGTATTTCTTGGTCGCATCAATTGCAGATGTTACGAGGGTAAAAAATGTCAAGTTGTCACTAAAATCCCGGTTGAGTGATGATATGCAACATTTAATGGTAACACTTGCCATCACCTTCAATTAAAATTTTTGGCTTCACCCTCAGCTAACTCATGAGTGTACATGTATTTTAGTCATCAATCATCATCTACAGCATTAGTGTCTTTAAAATTATCATCATTGTCAATCAGAGAACATCATAAATGTGCAGTTGAGGAAAATAACCATACCCAAGCAAAATAATTATGGACGGTCATCCTAAATTCCAAGAGAGTGGGCTGAGATGTCCCAAAGGCCAAATTATTAAAGAAAGGTATAGGACTAAACTGGACGAATAAGAGAATAAGAATAAGAATTATAGATTCCCTGAAAAAATGGTTTTACAAGTACTCACAATACAATGGCTAACCTGACATTTTCTTGAATCTTTGGATGCAGACATCCATTGAAGCAATACTGAAGGAAATACAAAGCAATGAAAGCTACACATTATTGTACCATATCAGGTGATCAAAGGTTATCTCCTATCTCTCTTTTTTCTCAAGATCTCCTCGGTGAAAAGGGACAGAGACTAGTCAGAGCTAGGAAACTTTTAAGTGCATAACAATATAACTGTAGTCTGATAAATCAAGATTCCAATTTTGAGATGATAGTAATTGACTGGAATTCATAAACTCATATTATATACAGAACTTTCTACCTTCCAGCTAGAGTGTTTGTTCCTAATAAGGTGGCCTTCTCATGATTAATCTCAACCTGCATTGGACCAAGCTTGTGTAACCCTGGTGGAAGACCAAGTGCAGCTATAGCATCTGTTACTAAAACAAGACCTGTTGGGAAGTAAGGGAAAGGATTACATAGTGAGTCTTGGCAGAGTCATAGAGATATTAAGATGGTCTAAAGTAAACCCCAAGGGGGATGGAGCAAGGACTCCCACATGCCGGAAAAGACCAGGGATGCTCGTCAGAAAACTTGAATTAAACCTTCCAGCAGAGATCAACCCGGGTACGACTTGAGCTTTATTTGACCCCTGAAAGATATAACTTAAAACAGAATAGGTTTGATTACCAGCTGCTGTTCAGTGTTGGGGAAAAGAGCCCAAGCGAAGCTAGTACACTGGACTCAAAAGAGCAGCAGAAATCAAGCCTAAAAACGGAAATGAGAGCGCTTTAAATTGCTATCTCTTCGAGTGTACCCTAAAAGATACTTTGACAGCTAAAAATAGTGGAGTTTTGTTCTAAACACTCTAAGTGAGACCAAAATCCTTGATTTACACCCCTAAGCGAGATGACAAGCATCTCAAACCTTTTAATACAAGAGAAAAACAGACTGCCAGGTGTCTACTAACTAGAACAAAGTGAACCACATATAGTTCAAATCAAAAATTAACTGAGATCAAAACTTAACTAACAACAAATACATGTACCTCTGAGCCTCTTCAAGAATTGAGAGAATGTGAGAGAAATCAAAAGAGCGAAGGGTGTTTTATGTCAAATTAGAAGGAATCCAATGAATTCATGAGGGTTGGACAGGAAGTAGAATTCTCAAACTTGTTAATAATTCATCAAGTTTAAACAAAGGAAATCATGACTGTGACGGTGTTTGGATATCTGATCTTAATCATTTTTACGATTCTATTTCTCTGTTTTCTCATTAGTTTTAGTTTCGATTGAGAAGATATATCAAACACTCAAGACCGTGTTTGACCACATTTCCAAATGCAAACACAACGAAGTTCATCAAAAATACTCCACTGCGTGTCGTATTTTCAACTCTTTTCTCAGAGTTTGGAAATGTGGTCAAACACGGTCTGTTGTGTTTGATATAAAATACATAAAAGACCCACATACCACGAGGATGTGATCTGTGTGCTATTCTTGTAGCTGTTGGATGAGTGTGAATTCCATCAGCAATCAGTCCATAGAAGATGGGTTTAGGAGTCTCATTGTCTGTTAGAAGACCTACAATTCCAGGATCCCTATGATGGAACTAAAAACATAAACAAAATCTACTGTTGATCAAACTAACTTGTACCACCAGTTTGTAAGTACCTTTTCAGGGGTTTTATTAACCTTTTCAGCAGGATATGGTAACTGGGCAAAACCATGGTAATGGTAACTGGATATGGTAACTGGGCAGGATATGGTAACCGGGCAAAACTGAGCTTTTTTATAAGGAAATTTTTTCTTCTAGATGGTCAAACCAGGTGGGCAAAATCATCCTTACAGCCCATCAATTTGCCCGGTGCCTTGCCCTAATGAAAACTCTGCCTATTTAGAAGCTAGTAGTACTTCTGGGTGGAGAGAAGGACTGTCAGTGACAGAACACAACATAATTCACTCACTCAAGCTCTTAACATCTCATCTCTGGTTATTTTTCTGCGATCATGCCCTTGTTTATATTACATAAAAAGTAAATATGTATAATATTTATTAATTTGAAGTCCCTCACTTACTGGCAACATGGCATTGAAGAGATGGGTGATGAATGTGGCGCCATTAGCTGCTGCTTTCTCCGCAATTGAAAGATTTGCTGCTGAATGACCTATGAGAGTTAATAGTATTTATTAATATTATTCATAACTGATTTAATTTATAGATGTGCAATACATGATTTGTATTAAGGAGAGAGCTCTTCTTTGACTATTAACAGCAGAACATCCTCTGCAAGATAGATTTCCAAGACATAAACCAAAACATCCTTAACTGATGATGTAGCTGTACAAGGATCAAGACATTGTATTGTCCTTGCTTGGCAATGTGCACACCATGTAAAGCCTGATATTGAATTTTGCATGGGTATGAACCAATCAAGATGTATTCCGTGGATCTCTGTCGTGCTATATCATCACCATGGACTTTTTTGCTTGAATCTAAAACATATATCATATACAGCTATTGTACTGTGAGAGTAAAGTATCTTGTCCAAGAATACAACACAACGTCCCCAGCCAGGGCTCAAACCTGGACTGCTCGATCCAGAGTCCAGCATACAATACATTTTATTAATTCTTCCTAAATGGGTTTTTCAGAATTAATTTACATCGGGTAAAAAAGAAATAGAATAAATTCAAAATATCTAATCACATTCATATTAAAAACGCACGATGGATGACTTATTAAACTTTAAAATTAAATAAGCCTATTCAATTATCACTACATCCTACTTATATCTAAATGTATCTTACTCGCCACATTTCACTTCTCGCATTCTTCTTGAAATACAAAACTGAGTGCGAGTTATCAGTTGCAACAAAAGGATTTTTCCAAGCTTTAAGTGCCCTTTAATGGAAGCCACACTGAGCTGCTGATGTCCTACACATAGGTAAACTGAGATGGTCTTTATTTCTGATGTTATATGCACAAGCTTCTGAGCGTTTGAAGAGGGTAGCAGTAAACTAGGTTGGGGTTAGCATACCATTAGGCCACTGTTCCTTCAACATGTACTGTTAGGTATAGGGCATGAATAAATCAACAGAGAAAGACCTCATTTGAGTATAAGGCTTTGTTCTCTGGCAGATTTATACCAATAAAATACAATAAAATATTGTTTATTGTGCTTTATTTTTCTTTACCTATTGACACCACAATGTTTCTTTTCACCAACTGTCTTATTGCCTCCATATTTTCTCCAGCCAGTTCTGGAGCAAGAGTTATGATACTGACATGATCCAATGAACCATAAAACTCTTCTATTTCTTGAGCTCCCTTGGTGCTAATCTGCCTCATCAGATGCTCTTTGTGAGCTCCCTTCATCGCAGGATTGATAAATGGCCCTTCTAAATGGGAACCTGCATTTACAACATCAAAGTGAACAAAGAGCAACAAATGTATAAAACTATAGCAAAAAATGAATTAATATAAATATGAAACTTGTTTATTTAATATGGTGGTTCTCTCTATGGGTTTAGGTAAGGTAGGTGTAGAGTAAGTTTAAACTCAAGCCTCCATTAGGCTGGTGTTTATCTTTTCACCTTCCCTGAATGGATCTCAGTCTACCATGGGGTTCTCCCCAGCAATTAATTTGACGCCACCCCCTGGGTGAAGAGAAGCACTGCAAGAATAAAGTGATCTCTACCAGAGCTACAATGTAGACTGCTTGATATAGAGTCCATATCATTCCCCACCTCCTTCAATTGGGCCATCACACACTGTACTTTGCAGTTTTAAAGAGGTGCACCCTTTTATTGTTGTAGTTGTTTTTTTGTTTTGTTATTTAGCTATATGTGTGGCCTTACCTAATATTTCTGCTCCATCAACTCCACCAGGGGTTCGCTTTATCTTCTTTGAAATCTATAAGCCAAAACTGAAATTGTAATTAATGCATATGGCTTATTGATACACTAATAAATCATACATACTGTATAGAAAAGTCCTATCTAAGCTTATCCGATCCAGATCCAGGCAGGAAGGAGGAAAGACATTATAGCTGAGCAGCATGGGTTAGCAATGGCATATTTATTCACCTCGCTATAACTTTCTTGTGACGATGTGACAATTGTGGGGCAATAAGATGTCACGCCATGCTGTAACAGACCCTTAGCCACAGTCTTCAAGCCTTCCTCTAACTTGTCTGGATCAGAAGAGAAGTCAACTCCAAATCCACCTGAAATACAATAGGAGAACATGAATTGCACGCCCCTGACATGGTGCCCCCAATCAATAAGACATAAAAATTTAGGTCTAAACATTGTCTACAAATGTCATACACCACCTGTGCAAGAGGGGTGGGGTTAGTATCTTAACGATTGGGGACGTCTTGTCAGGGGGGTTATACCTAGGGGGCATTATAACCGGTTTCTGCAGCACTCATTCCCCTCCACCTTAACAAATTTTTCTCAAAGTAATGTGTACCTCCTACAATACTTCAATTTACACTTACCATTTATTTGTAGATCAATGAATCCTGGGCTTATAATCAAATTATTACAATCAATCTGAACATCTGCTCGTACTTGCTCCTCCCAGAATACCTTTCGAGGATTGATAATTTTTCCAGCTCTAACCCAGAGATCGTCTTTTATCAGTTCGCCATCTCGCAGTAGACGACAATTTCGGAACTGGTATAACTTCGGTTCAAGCTCACATCCCCGTTTCATGCTGCATAAAGATGGGAGATATTGAAAAATGTTGTTTTCGAATCTCCACAATTAATTAATTTTGGAAAGACTAATAAGCTTTAATCGATTTAGCGAAACTGTGCTCGCATGTTCGTCAATGAGTTCAAAACGAAACAGTGAACCGATAATGAATTAGATGATCTGACACATAAAATACTTGAGAACTACTTCACTTACCTGTGTTGAGGGTGAGACTGCTTGACCAAACTTCCCAAACAGAGGTAAATTCATTCACGTATTAAAAGGTATATCCTCATGCTAAACCGTGACCGGTGAACGTTTGTTTGCGAATGTACTGGTAACGAATGTAGTCAGTATTTCGGTCCGTCCGTAGTACGGTGGAGTAGGGGAGGGTTGGCATTATCTTCGCGTTATTTCAGAGCTAGGTACACTCATCTTAGGAAATAGTGGCTTAAAGGGGACATTGTCAAACGATTTTAATCGTTAAAATGATACGATGCTTAGAAAAAGAACTATTTAAACCAGTTCCAACTTTGCGTCCCCATGGATTGGATTGGGTGTGAGAGGGGAGGGTAATCTGTAATCGCCCTCGCAGGTACCTAGCTATAACGTGCAGGGTGTAATACCATCTGCAAAGTGGGGTGGAGTGGTGGGGGGNGCGAGTACACCTTTTTTGATAATTGAACATGTGTCACGCCAGTTATCTCGTAAGATCTCGTAACGCAATCTTTCCTTAAGCTAACGACAAACCAAAAGAACCTCGAAGTAGGGCAATTATATTTACCAAGGTCCAGATATTGTTCTTTTAACTTTTCACAACTAAGACAATTTGTAAAAGGTGGATGCTACGTATTTGAAATGCTAGAGTGAGACAAATTGATTTTGTTTAGTTTCTTTTTTTTAAACCCGTTGGATAATTTTCCACCCCGCTATCAATACTGTAATGAAGAACTGAAAACCACCTGTGGTATGCCGGTACCTCACAGACAGCAACTTCTTGAGACTGTCGCTAAATTTACGCCATGAGTAATCACATTTGACCAATCACAGTGAATAGAAATGACGCAATCGTCCAATCAAAACTCGAAGTACTTGAAGAAAAAACTAACGCAACCAGCGGGAAGAAGTGCAACCGTAACCAAACGCGGGAAGGCGCAAGCAAACCAGACATTTGTCTCACTCCTAACTGGTTGAAAAACGAACACGTTTAGTCTGATTGGTCAACGCATGTTACACGAAAAAAAAATCTCTATTGAACGCTCCCCCAATGGGGCTTTTAAGCGCCAGTCAAACTAAATGATGAAACAAATAATCCAAATGAACATAACATGGTTAAAAGTCCCAACTGGCAGGAGGCAGACCAGTTAGCTATTTACAAGCATGACCGAGGAGTTGAACTAGGGTCTACCGAGAAACAACTCCAGCTAAGTGATCAGAGCGGGACTTGAACCCGTGAACTCCGGATTTCAAGTCCGGCGCCCTAACCACTCGGCCACGCTGCCTCCACGAAATGTTGAAGCCAACTACAGAGCTTGGAAAAAGCAGTTTCCTTTGACAATCAGTTGAAAGAATAAAAGTCAAATCAGATTCAATTCATTTCAAATGCTCAAACTTCTTCAACCCAGCAAGTGTATTTATCCTTTATTTAGTTTTCACTTTACTAATCGCCTATCAAATGGAATGCACACCACTTTCACTCTGATATTTCCTGTACAGCTCAATCAACTCCTTGGAAGTTCTTGGTTTAACCGCCATAAAAGCCTTATCGAAGTGTCGCCTGCACACTTCACTTGACTCGATGTTCTCTTGCAGTGCCATTATGGCCGCTTCGCGACACAAGGCTGATATTTCAGCCCCGGAAAACATCTCAGTCTTCTGAGCGAGGTCTTCTATTACTACATCAGCACCGAGGGGAGTCTTAGAGAGATGGATTCTAAAGATCTCTTCTCTCGCGTCTTTGTCAGGAAGAGGAACATAAATGATTCGATCTATTCTTCCAGGGCGGAGCAACGCTTTGTCGATCATATCAGGACGGTTCGTTGCCGCTACCATGACGACGTCTTTCAGCGTTTCCACGCCATCCAGCTCGGTCAGAAGCTGCGTTAGAACGCGGTCGGACACGCTTGACGCACCGTCATCCTCGCCGCTGCCACGACGCGCCGCGAGGGCGTCTATTTCGTCGAAGAACACGATGGATGGCGCGACGGCTCGGGCTTTTTGAAAAACCTGAAAAATATTTTGGTTATTTTAACATTTTACCATTTGACAGAAAAGGGCTTCTCGTATCACGGAGATAAACATTAATGAATTAGAATTAGAGTAAAACTAAAAACTATTTTCGAAATGCTCCATCACGAATCTTCATGGTGGTATGTCAACCCTATCAAAAGGCTCAGCGAAAATTGCGATTTTCTCCCTCAAAGTTGTCCGAGGATAAGAGATGTCACAACAATCTTCAAATCAAAGATATAACAAATACAATGACGCAAGGGACCGCAAACCAAAATGCTGCCGGTATACGTAGGATCTGTAAAAGATTTGATGAACCGGCAGCATTTTCGTTTGCGGTCTCTTGCATTACTATTATTATTATTTTTTTGGGGGGGGGGGGGGGGGGGGGGTAGGTCTTTTCAGATCCGATATGTCACTCAATTTTTAACATGGTTTGGCCATGTATTTTCTGCGGAACAGTTTTTGTCTGTCCGCAGTCTCCTTATCACGACAACGATATAATATTCTGGATTTTTGCCTCATTGTCCGTTGTCACGCGTTTTGCATGTGACATTGGCTAATCAGCAAACATTTGGATCTGAGTTTCATCTAAGGTCATTATCATGTGCATTTAGTTGGCGATCGGTCAGCCCGCCGGTTGCTTTACTTCTTGCTGCATGCTACACCGTGCTGACAAGACCCAACCAGGTCGAAACAGCTGTCCGCGGATGCAATTCTTGGCTTTCAGTTTGAACTCTATCATGTCGCTGTCTCGTTAAGCTTTCTACTTAGTAATCAGCCTTGATTCATTATTAAGGTATAAAAGTCCAATATTCGGCTATGACTGTTAAAACTTAAATACAGCAATTGGCTATCACAATTTGATTCTGCTTCGTGGAAATACAGTTATCCTTAATAAAAATTCAGATAATGGCACACTGTTTTGAACTATTTTTTTCTCTTTTTCCTCGTAGAAATGGAGAGGGGAAGTCTCTCGCCGCCAATTTTTCAGGCGACCATTTTCTTTCCTCTTGCATTTTACATCTCTTGTTAAATGATATACAAGAGAAATGTGGGCCTACCCGCGGGATGATCCCCGGGTCAACACGCGGGACTACTCGCGACATACTGACCTGCCTTACTGCTCTTTCTGACTCTCCAACCCACTTACTAAATAGCTCAGGACCTTTCACCGCTAAGAAGTTGAGCCCACTCTCCGTGGCCAGCGCCCTCGCTACAAGAGTCTTGCTGCAGCCCGGAGGACCGTACATCAGAATTCCCTGAGGAGGACGAATACCCAGTCGCTGAAATGCCTGCCGGGAGAAATCAACAAAATGACACGTATATAACGGATGTTAAAAAAAAAAACANNGTACCCATTTATACACCTGGGTGGAGAGAGGCACTGTGAAAGCAAAGCCTCTTACCCAAGAACACAACACGTGGCGCCAGCCAGGGCTCCAACCCGGACCACTCGATCCGGAGACGAGTGCACTACCCATGAGGCCACCGCGCCTCCCACTCCTGATACTGGGTAGACAATTTGAAAGTTGAACTCTGTAAAGAGTTTCTCAGGATGACATGAGATCTAGTCTTACCTCGGGATGTTTCAGCGGCCATTCCACCGCCTGTTTGAGCTTCTGTTTAATGACAGCATTCCCTCCAATGTCATCCCAACGAACCTAAAACACATCAACATTCATTCAACGCTGTACCTTGTGAGTCATTGGTTACGTAGTGAGCTACTCCGCCGGGAGAATAAGTACCAGTTTGTCTTCGAGAGTGACTGAGCCCAGACTGTTGACTCACTCCAGCCGTCCCTCAACCCTCGTGTCTCATAACAGGAGACTGGGTATGAGTCAGCGAAAATTTAATACAACGGCTCTTTATCTCCCGACTGTAATTTTATGAATCAGCGTTGACAAACGGCTTAAAAGTACAGGAGCCTTTAATGAATTGTCGCACAACACTTTATTTTTTGTGACAGCAGCAACAGAAAGCGTTGAGTGACAAGGTCAAAGGGGATTACGTCGAGTAGCCGGGTAGAGCGTAAATAGTACGGGGATCACTCGCGCGAGGAAATGCGTCTGAACTCGTTCCACGCGCGCAGGAAGGAAAAAACTCGCGGGCTATATTAACTCTATTATTGAGGCTTCCTTGATTCCTGACTTAAGGTGGCTCCGTATATATAGTTTTACGATCGCACGTTCGCTGAGGACTAAAGTTCAAGTAATCTGCACGCGCTCGAAGAAAAACGTCAGTGTTTTTCGATATTTTATGACGTCAACATGAGCACAAAAAGCAAAACTGACAGTGAATTTTCTCGCGTTTCCTTCGGTGAAATTTCGTAAAATTTGGCAGACTGGTAGTAAATATTTTAACTTAGTCGGAGCTCGTTTTTCAGGGAAATCTATAAGACCAGTTTTTTAGCAGCGGTAAAAGACATAAATTTGCAAAAATCGAAAAACCTGCCTTTGCAAACTCTACTTTTTTCGTTTTTAAAATTCGTATCCCGGAAGATGCGATATGCTGTGAAAATTTTGGAAGATTTCACCAAAGGAATTTAAAGAAAATTACAAATAAAGCCATAAAAAAGCAAAAAAAAAACCACATTTGTTTGGGCATTCATAATTCAAGACTAATACCCATAATTTTAACAAAGATGATAGTAAAAAACTATTTAATCATTGCTTATTACATGTAAWAAGTTTGAGAGGACTGGGTGTAAAAACGAATGCAAAAACGGTATTCAAAGCATAACACTTGCRCGTGCAACGCCATAAATGACTACCCTATGGAGCCACCTTAAGTAGTGCGTGAAATTCACGCGAGCCGCTCGCTCCTAAACGAGTTCTCTGGGCTCGTGGCGTTGTCACCTCACGCTCGCTTATTCCTAAGTAGCAAGACAAGCAGGGAATGTCCGAAACCAAACATTTTCAAGTCCACGTTTATGTACATAGTTGAAAATGGACAGCAGTACCCCAAAACAATTTCACAACGCAATTGAAAGACATTTGCGTAATATAAAGGTGCATACACTCACCTTAGGCACGTCAATGGCCACCTCGCGCATAGCGCTGGGTCGAACCTGTATGAAAGCCGCCACGACGTCTTCTTTAGTGACCAAAAGGCGCTCTTTCAGTGTTTCCTCCCGGGCCCTATCATCAAGGGACGAGGGCAATTCATGTTCCGCTAGACAGCGTTTGAATGACATTAGCCCCGCCTCTTTGCAAACTGCAGCAAGATCTGCTCCTACATACCCATGAGCCATTTCGGCAAAACTGAAACAAGAGGTATAGATACTTATAGGTGAATCTTTGCTGACGTCATTGTTTACATTTTTCGACTTTGCGCAGATAAGACCATCACCCTAGACACGAATTGACTGCAAACATTTAAAGAGCTTGTGAAACTTAGTAATTGGTGGAATTTTTGGCTTTTTGGGTTTAATATTCGAGGAGAAATTGGCTTTCAAAAACTGCAAATTTCTGGGTGGCAAAAGCACTAATAAGCTCATACCTTCTTTGTAAAATTTTGAGGTTTTAAACCCGCGTCCCATAAAAAGTATTTAATACATCGGGCTAAAATTCCTTGGGACGGTTAATCTTGCTGTATCCTTTCAATATTCAGAACTAATAATTTCATAGCTCCATAAGAAACTGTATCGCTTATGAAAATGATTCAAACATTGTAAATAAAGGTTCTACACAGACGAAGTTATCTTTTGACACCCATTTCAAGAGGACGAAAAGAAAATAAATCCAAGAAGATACACAGGGACAAAGAGAACGTACTCTAAGAAAATCGTTTTGATAAGTTGTTGAAAAACTTGATGTGCAACTTGGGTTTTCTTTTTCAACCCAAAACAAACCTTATCTTGAAGAAACAAAAACTTAATCGACAGCCTGAACGTAAGTGAGGTTGTTTTCTAAGATGGTGACTACTTTTAACCAACTGTTTCGAGTACGGCAATACGATATTTGTTCTTTCTCCCAACACAAGGAGTATTCAAAGCAAGCGCAGAGCTTACCTGGTGAAATTTTCATCGGTAAAATTATGCGGCACACTTCTGAGAAGTGTTCTCAGAATGTCCTCACGGTCGCTAGCGTTGGGTATTCCGATCTCAATCTCTCGATCCAGCCTCCCCGGTCTGCGGAGGGCTGGGTCCAAGGCGTCTGGGCGATTGGTGGCTGCTAAAACAATCACGTGACCGGACGAGAAACGCTGTGAAATGGAAACGAGTAAGAAATTGAGGTGTCCGGTAATATTTTTTCTAAAACCGAAGAATACGAATATGTCTGTGTCTGTCTGTCTGTCTGTCTACAGCAGCAAGTTAATAAACTCACGGTATTTGCGCCATCCATGAGGGTAAGTAGCGTGGCCACAACTCTCTTCTCAAACTCATTCTGTACTTTGTCCCGCTTGGGACACAAAGCGTCAAGTTCATCAATGAATACAATACTTGGAGCCCTCTCTCGAGCCTCACGGAATATGTCCCTCAAACGGGCCTCTGACTCTCCGTAATACCTGACAGGGCAAATCACACATGTTATTGCACGATCAGTCAATATCACGGAAGTAATCATGATGCTAGTCACACTGTTGACTGCAAATGCGAGGTCTCACTAATACATTTTCGTTTGAAACCGGGTGTTATACAGGACAATGCCAAATAAATTAAAGTGCGAGGTATTGTTCACAGATATAATTGACAGCCCCGTTAAAAACTATAACTACTCTCCTCTGATAAGACTAACCTGCTTAGGACATCAGGACCATTAATGCAGATGAAGTGGGCACCAGACTCCCCCGCCACTGCCTGTGCAATAAGGGTTTTCCCTGTCCCTGATGGACCATGGAGCAGGACACCGCGAGGAGGTTGAATACCTGAACAGCAGAGAAATTTTACATATAAATACGGCACAATATCATTTCATCGTTGATTCGTAAGTAATAATAATTAGACCGAATGGAGAACAATTCCGAGAGTAAGCTGGCGAGTAGTTTCAAAATCGGACAGGCGTGCAGTGATAGGCCGATTTCAAATTAAGAGCACGGTACTTTCTGAATTGTAGGACACGAGGTCCAAATACTAATTCTTCACACCAATAACAGATAACGAGATTATTCTTTTGAGCGAAAAAGTCACTAGTGTTGTAAATGAGTTTCACAGACAGCAGGAAAACATCGTGAAAGGTGTCCAATTACAGGAATCTAACTACAAGATTACGACAACCGCAGAAATTCTCGCGCGCTCGTTGGCTAATTTTCATTGTCAATAAGCGGACAGACACATGAATTTATAATTTTTGCGATGCGGCAAGGAGCGAGTGAGGACAGTTTCTTATCGTAAAAAACACAAATTGACGTCGGTTTTTCATGCGTCTGTCCTGTTATTGACAATGAATTTCGTCTCAACATTGTCAAAGTAATTTGCGAATCCACTCGGCTATCGCCTCGTAGATTGACGATGTTATGACGAAATTCATGATCAATAACAAAACAGACGCATGAAAAACTGACGTCAATTTGTTAATTAGTGGATACCTGTAATTGGACACCTACGTGATCGCGGGTGCGCGCGTGAACCAATCAGAATTGTGAATGTTGTTATAGAAACGATTACATTTCACTAATCGTTTTCTCTTCTTATTCCCCAGATGTTTCACGTGAAAACAACCTTTGAAACGTGTAAATAACTAACAAACAAATGGGAAGGAATTAACAGGGCAATCGTTTTCACAACGACAAAAAAAGAAAAAAAAAAAACATTAAAAACGTCAAAGCTGAAAAACCACGTGGTTACGATATCTGTGAGTTGTCAACCAGCAACACATGTACATTGTTTAAAGGAGATTTCAACGTTTCCCTTTGAAATTTGGCGCGATATCTACACCTTACAAGCCCTTTCTATATAAATTATAAATTAATATTTGTTCATAATGGAAGATCGAAAACAATGCCCGGTCAGAAATGATTGCCGTTTTGGGTTGGAGTGTAATTTCTTTAAGTTTCAAGCTTTCTCGTCTACCACTCGCCTTCTTGTTTTATTAAGCGTTTTACTAACTAAAAGGGTAAAGTCGGAACCAAGTGGCCCACCAGGTCGGGGCTTATCTCAGGTTTCTGTAACATGAAGCGACTAGGAGTATTTCTACTCCCCCTNTCGAACGTGGACCGCTTGATCCGGAGACGAGCGCCATGAAGCCACCACCAACTACTTACCATAATTTGTAAACATTTCTGGATGTTTCACAGGAAGCTCGATCATTTCACGCACTAAGGCAACCTGCTTCTGAAGTCCTCCAATAGATTCAAATGTTACTTTCCTTCTAGACTCGCTTCGTTCGATTTGACGAGCGCCGTGCGCGTGAATTGTCAAGTGTGTTTCTTCTGGGGATATGTAATAAAATACCGATTGATTTCGTTCTAATTCTGACTGCAGACAGCTTTGAGTTTGGTGTTCCATATTTGATTGAAAGTCTCCCTGATGAGTTTCTGTTTNGCTGAATTTGCAATTATAATATTAGGCTTGCTTGGTCAGCCATCAGCATTCTTATTCACTCTCGTACCCAGTCTTTGCTCCCCTTGACCAGCAATCACGAAGCAACTGAATGTGGAAAGTTCTCATTGGGAACCCCACAATATCAGACTTCCAGTAAGCTGTGCACCCCTAGCTGCTGCACACACAGCTCAGTATCTCTTTGGTGTTTTACGTCCTGTTATTTTTATTGTTTTCAAAACCAATCAAATTGATTCTGTAATAAAACTTTTCTCAAGGTAAGGTGCGAGCAAAGTGGTCCATCAGGCTGACTCTTATCTCCAGTTCCTGTAGCATGAAGCAACTAGGAGTATGGGTGGGTGGGATGCAAGTCCATCAAAGGGCTACCCACAGCATTAAATTCACTGGTATTTATTTGTACCCCTGGGTAGAGAGAGGCACTGCAAGAGTTCAGTGTCTTGCTCAACACAATGTCCCTGGCCAGGGCACAAACCCAAACCACTCAATCCAGAGGCGAGCACACTAACCATGAGGCCACCACGCCTCCACAGAGACTTCAGGTTCATGGTCATTATCACAGTTTCATCAGAAACAAAACAATCCACAGCTTACCAAAGCTCAAGTTCCACCCTTGCAGCATGCAGACAGAGGCTTGCTATAGTACCGACAGTGACAATATCACCAGCTGAAACCTGATGGAGAAGGAGAATTTATAGACAAGGGTGAACACTCATCTGGTATTTCATCAGACAGGTGTTTATATCATAAATCTCAGGGCTATAAAGGCTTAACAGAAAATAAATACACAAAAATCACGACCTACTTGGCTATTCACAAGAGACAGTGGTGTTAAAGCTGCACCTGGGTGGAATAGAAGGCAAGGGTTACTTGTGCAGTGTGCAAAGAAAGTTCTGTCCGATAGTCCAGGGCTAGTGATTTTTCCAGTCAGGTTAGTTGATTCTGTCCATCCCTTACCCAACAGCAAGTGAAGTTTCTTGGGAACATTTTTGAGGAAATTCAAATTAAAGGAGTACTGTAAGAGACAAATTTTGGGAGGCTCATAAGAATGACTTTTGGGCTAGTACATGTACATCGTGGTTTCTATCTTTGTAAAATGAAATGCATCACACTTACCCTCAGGTGAAACTCCTGATGAGGGCCATACCATGCACACAATCTAAAGAGCAAAACAACAAATCTAACTAAAATGACTCAAGTGCAACAACTGAGGGAATCTCAAAAAATTCCACATTTCATAATGATAAGGATTATCTTCCACATAAGAACCTCAAATGATTTTACAAAACATTTACATGTACATGTACCTTTGCATGTGTTCGTGCTGATTTTACCAAAACTCTTTTTCCAATAGGTAGATGACATTCCTTCATTGTGCTAATGTTGAGTAATAGTACATCATTTCTAGAAGACAGTGGCAACTTGCTATCTGTTTATCGAAGGAAAGAAACATGTAGATTATGATAAGATATTGTATTACTGGACAAGCGATACTTTAACTTATCAGAAGTATTAATAAAAGATAAAATACTTTGGGCTGGTGAGAATGACTTTCCCCATAGTGCATCATAGTTACAGATTGTTCAAAGTGCAAGTTGGAAATTTTTTTTTTTGACCCTCTGCAAGCATAGGGTGAAGTTCTTCTAAAGTTACCCATCTAATCTAGGAAAAGAATTATCTGTTATTTGTTGCTTTGGGGATGGGAAGGAATGGGAAAGAAAGAGAGATAACTACCGCCTATTCTTGCGAGCCATCATTTACTGCTCGTCTTTTGGGGGGCGGGGGCCCTTTCCACTAGACGGGCTACGTCACTATTTGCGCATCTTGAAAAGTTTAGCCTGACTTTTTCAATTTCGTCGTCTGTAATCCGCGTCAATCTTCTCCATCCTTGACCATCCTTGTTCCTTTATGGTTTATTATTATCTCTTTGGTGTTTCTCTATCTTATTAAACCATTATTTTCAGGTTTCCTTCAATTTAAAGGTAATTTTGTACGTGGCCAAAATAACTCAAAATGCCGGGACTGAGTTCCTTTAAGGAAAGCACTGGTGCTTTGTTAGTCTTTTAGATATGAGCGGACTATTAAGAATTTTTGAACCAGTATGGTTAGAATTAAATTTCAGTTACTTAATGATTGTCAGCACACATTTGATAATGGTTTTATTAATGATGACATTGCTCGTTACTCCTCTCGACTCGGTGCTGGGTAAGCTAGGGTTCAGCAGTGATGGTTGAACAATTACCTGATGGCAGTTCTTTCTGAAAATAATAATTTAAACAAAAAATGTTTTCTCTATTTTGTCGTTTTTCTTCTTATCCTTTTTCCTCTGCAGCTTTTTCTTATAAGCTGGGGCATCTTTTGCGCTTTCCTTGTTAAAAACAAGCGCCTTTGCTTCAACACTCGCATCATGTACGACCGCATCAAGTGTCCTGTCCGATGAGTTCATGTTTTCTTCATCTTGACTTGCTATTGCCCCAGTTTCTTCCAAGAAATGGTTCATTTCTGAATTCCTTCCAGCAAGGTCGCTTTCTTCGACCCCTTTGAGGCTTGGAAAATTGTCATTGTCATCAATTGCAGTGTTAAAAGCTGAATTTTTCATCGGAATTTCAATGCCTTCAGTTGTTGGTTCAAGAATAGCGTCCGATCTCAGAACTGTAGCATCATCTTGTTTTGGCCCCGAAAAGTGATCTCGACCAATCACTGGTGTGTCATTATGAACGCTTACAATGGGGCCTTTCACATGTTGATCAACCGTGGCCCCTAAGTGGTCACTGGTGCCTTGCGATTTAGTCCCTATTGGCCCATTCACGCTCGTCACATTAAGGGCCAAATTACCACTTTGATCCATTGTAGTGTCATTTTCATTGCTCTCCAGCTCCTCTTTCGCATCTGGTAATGCGCAACCGTTTGTGTTAAACATGACGTTATTTATAGGATCGCATATTTGGCTATCCTTTGCGGTCTCTAGCTTGTTTGATGAATAATTGGAAGAATTTAAAAAATCCTCCGATTTGAAAACACACGTGTCTTCATCTTCATCGCCGCTGAAACCCGCATTAGTCCTCTCGCCGATATCGGAACTATCCTTCTCCGATTCGCAGCCATCTATGTTATCTCTTCGAATCGTACCAGGGCTATTTGCAGGCTCAGATTCATTTAACGGGCGCCGTGGTGTCAGCGGTGATGCGTCACTAACCAATAGCGCTATCTCAGCCCCAGACTCCTTAGCGCAGAAATTCTGCTTCTTTCCAACGCTATCGAAACTGAATCTCTTGGCCTTCTCCTTTGCCAGGGGACTGATCATTATTTTCTTCTCAGAAGAGCTGCTTCCATTTCGATTGGATAGCTGCAGCTCGCTGGATGATTGCGAGCGTCCTACTGGAGGGGGGCGGTTGATTGAGGAGGGCCCAAATGAACCGGGTCTGCGGGCTCCGAGGTCGACACTGAGAAGCTGTGTAAGCTGTCGAGACAGGCAAAATATGTCTAATGTCAACGTGCAAATTTTCTTCATTCGCTTCTGTGCTTTAAGGACGTTCGCGCTAATTGTTTCTGCGCATCCTTACTGCGCACGAAATTCA